TATATATTATAACCTATAAGATACAATACACAAGCAGAGCACCTGGAGTGCAATTTTTGTAGACTAGGCACACTTTGCCATTCCCACCACAGGGATCCAGCTCGAAGATGCGGCTCCGGGAGTCGAAATGAGGTGCGACGGGCACACGCGCCGACCCTGACAGATAGCATTAATGAATCTTGAATAAATATTTACGGTCCAATCAAGAGCTCATTCATTAGCCTGCTTTCTACACAACTGAGCACACGTACTGTAAACAAACGTAATTGAAAGTGACGTGTTGTAATTGAGGATCCCACATGAGGATCTGGCAGGTGAATATTTACCACTTTCTGTGCCGCTCTCCTCCCAGTCTAGGTCAGCGAGTGATGGCGCATTGGGCAGAGAGAAGAGTGACACGGGCTGGAGCAGCGGGCACAGTCTGGCCACACTATTAATCATCATGCATCCTAAGGGAACACACTCACCTGAAAGACAGCACATCCACACAGTGAGGGCTGTGTGCCAAGAACATAAGAAAAGCTGCTATTTTCATTTACAACATTACTTGAAAATAGTTTAAATAAAAACAGACTTTTTTTCTCTTTTGAAAACTGTGAATGCAGACAGACCACATCAGGACACCTACTGTCTAGTTTAACGCTCCATGTTAGTGTAAAGCTATCAGTTGTCAGATAGAAGTCTCTCAGGTCCTCTGGTAATATACATGTGTTTTTCTGGCAAATAAACACAAAAGATGAATAACACATGACAAAAGTATACAGTACTGCCATATCAATATCTGACATCTACCATGCATCTTCCTTCCCACCTGCTCCCATGACAGCAAACTCCTCTTCTCTGCAGGCTCTCTTTCTGCGAAACGCACGTCGACTACCCCAGGCATGTTCTCTGTCCCAGCAAGGACAAGTTCATGACATTTATTACAATCTATTTTTTCCACAGAATTCAATGCTTTGCTAGCTAACGCTCTCAATGCATATCACAATCATACACACCAAGTATCCGAGTGATACCGAGCATCAGCCTATCGGCAATCTTGAAGCTCTCCTTTGTTTCTTCCATTTGGGTGATTGCGATCACAAATTTGTACAAAACCCAGAATGCATCCTTTGCAGATGCCTGTAGCGCATTCTTCCCCTTGCTCCAAATAGCTCATCTGCGGACGCAAGCGGAGGGAGAAAGGACGCAAAACGGACATGAATTTGCACCAATAGAAAGCCACCCTTCTACAACACAACCAATGAGATTTTTGCTTGTAAGAGAAAGGCGGGACAACTATTCCTTAGCAACGCTTGGCTCCCTGGGAGTGGTGGCGGTTGATTCAACATGGCGGCAGCAGCGAAAAGAAGTGAAAATTCGGGGATATTTTGGATGAATGGCGGTACGCTGACTTTTATCGAGCTACATTAGCCTTATCCAACACTTCACAGTTGTATATATCTTACAGGAAGACATAAAGCTTTTCGAAGTAGAGTTATAGTGTTACTTTTACGTCCGTACTAGAAAGTTGTTTTCTCTGAGGAAGTGAGAGAGCTTGTAGCTAATTATAGTTAAGATAAAGACTGCTCACCTAACCACTTATTTCAAGTTGATTTTGGATAGTTTGTTATTGATGATAACGGTATTCATGCTACCTCTTACACTGAGTTAGTCCTGCTAGGTCTCCCAATACAGAACAGAGCAAAAATAACACTGTAAAAGCCATCTGCAGCTGTTTAATTTGAGTGTCTCCATCCTCTTTTTGTTATGCCCACACAGTGTCAGATGATGAACGGCCTTTGGTGTTTATTCCTGGTGAGTCCAGTGATAAACAGTAAAACTTTATATAGAGTGGCTCTTATTGTTGTCTTCTTAACATCCTCAGGGGTGGACGGAGAAGTGACGTCTCAGGCCCCTTTTAACCTGAAACCACTCAGTACCAGTACATCCAAGAAAAGAGGCCACAAGATGGGAGTGAAGAGCACTTCTGACTGCAAAAAACAGGCCAAGCAAAGGAGAGAAGTCAAAAACCAAAGTGATCACTCAGGGGTTTATACTAAGGAGGACGTGTCTGTTCACCACAATGCTGCTGTGATGACACCTCAGACTTTTCTTCCGGTTTCACAGGTTTCACAGGTATCATAGGATTTTTTTCGGCTGAACTTTTTTGATTAAATGGCAATATGTAATGCACTGAATTTA